GTGGTAATGGATTGTAGTTAGTCTTTGGGTGGTGAATATGTAGTAATCTACACTGAAATCAAAATATAATTATGTACACCCAAAATTTATATAATACTATAAGTTAATATTACCACAATAAAAAAAAGACCAATGCAATAAAATATAGGCAAACTTGAACAGATGCTTCATGAAAGAAGATAATATAAGTAGCCAATAAAGAGATGCTCAACAACTTAGGCATCAGAGAAATGTAAGTTAAAACTGTAATGAGATATCACTTCATATCCACTAGTATGGCTAAATTCAAAAAATTAACAATACTAAGTGCTGACAAGAATGTAGAGAAATTGGAAATCTCAAAATTGCTGGTGGGAGTACAAACACTTTGCAATATAGTTTTAAGGTTTCTTATAAAGTTTAACATACCCTTATCACATGATCCAGAAATTCCACTTGTAGGTACTTACCCAAGAGAAATGAAAATATATTTCCAGAAAAGGCTTGTACGTGAAAATTCATAGCAGATTTATTCATAAAAGCAAAACTGGAAACAATTATTTATTGCTGCATAACAATTACCCCAAAACTGAATGGCTTCAGACAACAAATATTTATTATCTCATAGTTTCTATGAGTCTGAACTCAAAAGCAACTTAGCCAATGGTTCTATCTTAGGGTGTCTCATGAGGCTGTAGACAAGATGTCAGCTGAATTGCAGTCCTTAGAAGATTTGGATGAAGCTGGAGGTTAGTTATAACATGTCTCAATCATGCTGTTTATTGTTAGCAAGGAGCCTTAGTTCCTCCCCAAATGTGCCTCTCCACTGCTTGAATGCTTTCATGACATGGTGGATGACATGAACAATCCAAAAGAAAAAACAAGAAGGAAGTCACAATGTCACTTATGACCTAGCCTTGGATGTCACACACCGTCATTTCTGCCACTTTTTATTTGTTACAAGTGACTAAGTACAATTCACACTGAAGAGGAGAAGTAGGCTCTACCTTGTGAAGGGAGAAATATCAAAGAATTTGGGGACTAATTGAAAACCACCATAAACCCAAATATCTATTATTTGGGTTTACGAATGGATGAACAAATTGTGACATATTTATACAGTGGAATACAATGGAATAATAGTGATAAAAGAGGAATGGACTGTTTATACACAAAATAACATGGATGAATCTCAATGTTGTGCAGAGTATAAGAAGCCAAACACGAAAGGGTGTGCATTGAATCAATCTTGTATGTGAAGTTCTAGAACAAGCATAACAATCTAAAATGATAGAAATCAGATCAGTGATTACTTAAAGCATGGAGTGGAGAGAATTATCATAAACGGACATGAGGAATTTCTTAGGTGATAGAAATGTTCTATATCTTCACCAGGGTAATGTTTACCTGGATGTACACATTTACCAAAACTCAGTGAACTGTGCTTTAAAATCTGTGCATTCTATTATGTAAATTATACTTCTATTTAAAAGGAGGAAGGAAATAAACCAAAGTAAGGAGGTATTGATTAAGCACAGTAGAGGCTTGTGAGGAAAGACTGGAAATATGGGACACCCAGGAGATGGTGGCAAAAAGAAAACAATACCCCTGTACTCCTCAATTACACAGGGGAGCAGAGGTTGACCTTTTATTTACCAAGGGGAGCATCATTGCTGGCACATTTCCTCTAGATCCTCCCCTCTCTGTTTAACCATCATTAGTGGCAATGGCTGATTAATTGTGACTTATGAATGAGGCCCCTAGTCTTGGCAGAATTAATGAGCTGTTTCTCTCCACGGAATGGGAGTCCTGGGATCCCTCCCTCCATCACCTCATCATGCTTCCTTTTTTACCTCCAGGACCACTAAAAGAGAAGGTAATTTTCTGCATTGAGGAGGAGAGGTTAATAGCGAAAACCTCCATAGTAAGGAGCTCTCTCTGTCTTCACACCATAGCAAAGTGATGGTGGGATGTGGTTACTGTATAACCTCTTCAGTCAGCCGACCTGAGTTCAAATCTCAGCACTGGTGCTTACTAGCCACACTTTCCAGAACAAGAAATTTATCCTCTGTGTGTTTTCATTTCTTTCTCTGAAAAGGAAGCTAAGAGTACCTTCCTCTTAAAGTTGTTATAAGGAGCAATATACTGTGAAGTGCTTTGAAAAATGGCTGGGGAAGTAAGCACCAGCAATCATACTCTTACTTCAAATCTAAGCTCTAACCAATTTCACAGGTATAATTTTTCTCTATAGTTTTCCTTTAGTTCTCAATGTGAGAATCAAGTGGATGCTCCAACCAGTCCAGAAGCTCCTAGTCATAGGGAAGCTCTGGCAGCAAGGCACCGAGGAGATTCTGACTTTACTGTGGGTAAGTTACAAGCGTATTCTTCTCCCACAGCCCATCCATTTCCACACGTCCTCAGTAGTGTTTGAATCAAACAGGGTCTAGAATCCTGGCCCTGGCACTAATTGGATAAGTGAATAACCTTGGGCAAGTTACTTAACTTATTTGAGACTGTTTTGTCTGCAAAGAAGGAATAATGTTAACTATTTTTCAGGGTTGTTGTCAGATCAGGAAATTTTCAGGAAATTTTTCAGGATTTTCAGGAAGTTTTTTAACATAGTACCTGATACATAGGAAGCACTCAACAAATGGTAACTGCTAAGGCAATAGGTGGTTATCATTAGTGGGTTATAGAGCAGAATTTGTATCTCATAACCTTGTAGCACCTAGTAAGTGACTGGCTCTTTGGTGACCAACAAAGGAATGAACGTATACATGAATATGGAATTAATAGGAAGTTGGAAAAGTAGGGCTTGCCTTTTGTTGGAGTAAGACAAAAGCAGGATAAAGAGAAGGAGAGTAGAAAGATATGCTTTGAGGAAGAACAGGAGAGAACAGAGAGCTAAAGGAAGATAAACACTGCAGAGATTCAGAAACATACAAAATTGAGACAATACGTAGCCAAGAGAATAAAAATGTGAAAAATTCTAAAGTTGATGGATAAATAAAATATGGTGAGCAATTGCTGTGATATAAAAGGTATGATAACTGTAAAGTTTGAAAGGAATGATGATTTAAAATAATCAGAATAGCATTTACTTATTCAAGGAGAATAAAGGAAATGTGATCGGGGAGGGACACACGGAGGGCTGCTAAGATATTAGCAACATTCGTTCCATTCTTAAATTGGGGATAGGAGGGAAAGTACAACATGTGTTCATTTTATTATTCTGCAAAATCCATAGACATATTATATACACTCTTTTGTTCAAATAATTAACATTTTTTGAAAAAGGAAACAAATCCTCTCCTAAAGGGGAAAAGTAATGATGGAGAAAAGAACATGGAAGAAAACAAAAAAAGAGGGAGTCCCGACAGAAACAGAATAAGATGCATCTTTTAAGACAAAATGGAGCCCCTGAGATGGAGAGATGATCACACCATCCTGTAAACTCCCAGGGCACTTTCTGCCAACAAGGCCACCAAGTTGCTTGCCACCTCATCCCCTAAAAGACCTTCCTAAGATTGTCTGTTTTCAGAAGACCCCCAGTTCCTACCTCTTTACTGCCAGGGTGGCTGCCACATCCCACTCCCATCTTTGATCTCATGTTCTGTGTCCCAACACAGTCTTTCATAGCAAAGATCCAGGTCACCTTAAAAATCTTTAAAAAACTACCTCTGGAAGGTTTTCTTTGACTCACTCACTCAGATTCCTCCTTTGATCTTCAGACTTCCTTCTCTCACCTACCCATTATGTTTGTTTTATTTGCCTTCAGTTTCTGGGGGTCTTGACAATTTTCCATGTATTTCCCAGTGTTTATCATGTGCATGAGGCCACGCTCCCTCCACCCTCTCAGCTTCTCCTGGTGAGGCCTGAACCCATCACTCTATACTTTAAGACGTTGTTTCAGTGGCTAAGGAAAGACTACTAAAAAGAACAAGGTCAGTCATAAGAAGTCTAGACTGGATCTTTTATGAGAAAAATTGCAATAAAGGTCATTATTAGAAAAATTATAAGTATGGACTACAGAGTCCATAATAATATTTTATCAGTGTTGGATTTCCTATATTTAGTAACTGTACTGTGTTTACACAAAAAAAATTTCCTTTTGCTTAGAAACAAGATGCTAAAATATGAAGGCATGAAGAGGCATTATGTATGTAACCCGCTACCCAGTAGCTCAGAATAAATATAATTCCATGTATAAAGAAAAAGGTGAAATAATAAAAAGTAGCAAATACTAACAATTTGTTAATATGGATAAAGTTTATACAGGAGCCTTTTAGACTACTCTTGGAAATTTTCTGCAAGTTTTAAATGTATATATAAATGTTTTTTTAAGATTCAACTAGTGAATAGAATTAAGGAAGCATTAAAAAATTCTAAATTCTACTTCAATATCTCAATCTCAACTCTGCGTATTTTGCTATTGATGTAATCTTGTCTGAAAAGGAAAATATTTAAAAATTATCTCACCTTTCTTGTTTCTAAGCTGCAATATTGGAGATTTTTGCAGTTACAGAACAAAGAACTGGCGGCATTTTTGGTCTTATTTTTGCCATATTGCACATAATGTTAAATTGAGGTTAGGGCTTTTCCTTTGTTGGGAATGCTCTTGTTAATAAACCATAACTTTTTTAAGGGGACAAAATCATCTAATTAATGTCTCTGTGGTGGGGTCACTTCACACAAAGGAGAAATCTCCTTAATTCATGATTTTACCTCTAGTGGCTCCCCTCCAAATAAGGGTAATATAGATAAAACATGAATGATTCCAGGAAATATATGCCCCAGAGTAGAAAATAACCCTGAGTAGATATTTATGAAAGTGAAATTCAGTCAAAAGGATTTCTTTGCTAATTCTTCCTGGATACACTTAGGAGAATATTGGGAACTATCACAGTACTCGGAACAAAATAAGTGCTCCATAATTGATTATTGAATTAATAAAAATTATTTCATTAATCCATATTTCACATCAGCTTTTTTTGCCTTCAACCAGTAAGTCTGAGGTACCAGTGTGAGGCTCCATCTGTTTTCCAGCATATTTGTGGTTTCCTCCTCCTCCTAGACAACATCTGACCAGGAGGAACAGGGGAAGAGAAGGAGCCACTGGACTGTGATGTGCCTGTAAAGAAACGCTGACTGAGAGGAAGGGAAGAGAAACATCCTCCTGCTATGACCCGACAAGTACGCAGAGACAGTTTTGCTAAGACAGGTTGGAACACACTGCTCTGACTTCTCTCATCCTTCTGGGTCTGGACAGGAGCAGGCCATGGTCAACCAAAGCTCCCCAGTGGACTTCCTCCTTCTGGGCTTCTCTGAATACCCAGGACTTGAAAGAACCCTCTTCATCATTGTCTTCACTTCCTACCTCCTGACTCTGATGGGCAACACACTCATCATCCTGCTGTCTGTGCTGGACCCCAGGCTCCACTCTCCTATGTACTTTTTCCTCTCCAACCTCTCCTTCTTGGACCTCTGCTTCACCACAACTTTTGTTCCCCAGATGCTGGTCAACCTCTGGGACCCAAAGAAGACCATCAGCTTCCTTGGCTGCTCTGTCCAGCTCTTCATCTTCATGTCCTTGGGAACCACTGAGTGCATCCTCCTGACAGTGATGGCCTTTGACCGCTATGTGGCTGTCTGCCAGCCCCTCCACTATGCGACCGTCATCCACCCCCGCCTATGCTGGCAGCTGGTGGCTGTAGCCTGGGTTATGGGTCTTGTCCAATCAATAGTACAGACACCACCCACGCTCCGCCTGCCCTTTTGCCCCCACCGGAAGATAGATGACTTTTTATGTGAAGTCCCTTCTCTAATTAGACTATCCTGTGGAGATACCACCTTTAATGAAATCCAGTTAGCTGTGTCCAGTGTCATTCTCGTGGTTGTGCCCCTAAGCCTCATCCTTGTCTCTTACTGTGCCATTGCCCGTGCAGTACTAAGGATTAATTCTGCAAAAGGGAGGAAGAAGACTTTTGGGACCTGCTCCTCCCATCTCATGGTTGTCACTATCTTCTACAGTTCAGTCATTGCTGTCTACCTCCAGCCTAAAAATCGCTATGCCCAGAAGAGAGGCAAGTTCTTTGGTCTCTTCTATGCAGTAGGAACTCCTTCACTTAACCCTCTGATATACACCCTGAGGAACAAGGAAGTAAAGAGGGCATTCAGGAGGTTGCTGGGGAAGGATGAGGACCCCAGAGAGAGCTGAAGGAGAAAGCTGCTTAATGTGCTTTCTAAATTATGAAGATTTTATTCATGATTTATTAGAGTGGTGAGTTCCTCAGTCCACTGTTTTTTCCACACACACCTGAGCCACTGCAGTGTGTCACTGTGTAACAACGTGGCATTTAAGAGAGAGAGACAGAAACTGAGTTAAGAGGAAGTAGGTATCTCTATAAGATACCTTAAATTCAAACGCTGTCAAGCCTGACCATTCTCATTATTTCTTCTGTTATCCTTCCTGTTTTTACTGTCTTGCCTTCTATAGATTCCCTAACTCTGTCATGCTCATTTTTGGCTATATAATCTCTGTTCAACTGTTATGTCAGTATAGGGAGATAGCTCCACCATGACACTCTGGAGTCCTTACACATATCTACATACATCACACAAGCAAAGGCTTGAAGCACAGCTAATCTGAGACTTGGCAGGACGCCTTTTGATCCTCCTGGAACATGACAGAATGGAAGACTTGTTAGGATCTGCCTCAAAGCCGTCTCTTACTCTCCTTCTTATATCCTCCAGGAGGCTGTCAGGAGACAATTCCTTATTACCTCCCAGATTTTGATGGGTTATGAGGCTTCTACTCTATACCCCTTAGGATATTAATACAGCATACCAAATCCAGGAACATAAAAAAAGAATTATACTATGACCAAGTAGGATTTATCCCAGGGATGCAAGGTTGGATTAACATCTGGAAATCAATTAATGTAATTCTTCTTATCGACAGATTGAAAAATAAAAATCACATGATTATCTCAATAGATGCAGAGAAAACACTTGACAACATCCAAAACCCTTTCGTGATAAAAACATTCAAAATAAAACTTGGAATAGAAGAGAACTTCAATTTGATAAAGGGTGTCTACAAAACCCCCCTAAACAGCTAACATCATACTTAATAGTGAAAGACTAGATGCTTGCCCCTAAGATCAGGAACAAGAGGAGGATGATGTCTATTTCACTACTTCTATTCAACATTGTACTGCAGGTTTTAGCCAAGAAAATTAGATAAGAAAAAGAAATAAAAAGCATCTAGGTTGGAAATGAAGAAGTTAAAATATCTCTATTTGCAGATGATATGATCTTGTATACAGAAAATCTTAAGGAATTATCTTAAAAACTACTAGAACTAATAACTTGAGTTCAGCGAGGTTGCCAGATACAAGATCAATATACAATTATCAATTGTGTTTCTATACATTTGCAATGAAAAATCCAAAAATAAAATTAAGAAAAAAACTTATTCACAATAGTATCAAAAAGAATAAAATAGTTAGTAATAAATTTAACAAAATAAGTACAAAACTTATACCCTGAAAATTAACAAATATTTTCAAAAGAATTAAAGATCTAAATAAATGGAAAAACATCCTATGTTGATGGATCAAAAGACTTACTATTGTTAAGATGACAGTATACCCCAAACTGATCTATAGATTCAACACAATCTATATCAGAAACCCAGCTGACTTTTTTGTGCAAATTGACAGGCTGATTCTAAACATCATATGGAATTGCAAGGGACCCAAAAGAAGAGTAATGTAAGATTCAGGCTTCCCAATTTTAACACATACTACAAACCAAAAGCAATCAAGACAAAGTGGTTCTGGCACAAAGATAGACACATAGGTCAGCAGAATAGAATTGAGAGTCCAAAATTAAACCCATATGTCTATGGTCAAGTGACAAGGTTGCTGACAAGGTTGCTAACAAGTTTGCCAATACCAAGGGAGCCAAGATCATTCAATGGGGAAAGAAAAGTGTCTTCAGTGAATGGTGCTGTGACAACTAGATAGCCACATGCAAAAAAATGAAGTTGGACCCTTACCTCACACGACATACAAAAATTACCAAAATGGATCAAAAATCTAAATATTAAAAAAACTATAAAATTTGTAGAATAAAACATAGGGGTAAATATTCATGACCTGAATTTGGCAAATGTTCATTAGATATGACACCAAAATCATGAGCAATAGTAGAAAAATAGATAAATAGCGCTTCATCAAACTTTAAAACTTTTGTACTTCAAAGGACACCATCAAGAAAGTGAAAAGAGGGGGCCAGCCCGGTGGCACAGCGGTTAAGTTTGCACCTTCCACTTTGGCAGCCTGGGGTTCACCAGTTCAGATCCCAGGTAGGGACCTGTGCGCTGCTTGTCAAGCCATGCTGTGGCAGGTGTCCCACATATAAAGTAGAGGCAGAAGGGCACAGATGTTAGCTCAGGGCCAGTCTTCCTCAGCAAAAAGAGGAGGATTGGCAGCAGACGTTAACTCAGGGCTAATCTTCCTCAAAAAAAAAAAGAAAGAAAGTGAAAAGTAAACACGGAATGAGAGAAAATATTTGCAAATCAAATATTTAATAAGGGACTTGTATCTAAAATGTATAAAGAACTCTTACAACCCAATAATAAAAAGACAACCCAATTTTTTAAAATGGTCAATAAGCATGAAAAAATGCTCAATATGATTAGCCATCAAGGAAGGGCAAATGAAAACCACGTGAGATGCCGCTCACACTCACTAATTTGAAAAAAGAAAGAAAGAAGGAAGGAAGGAAAAGAAAGTGCTGGCAAGGATGTGAGGAATTTAAAATGTTACAACTGCTTGGAAAACAGTTTGGCACTTCCTCAAAAGGTTAAATATAGAGTTACCATATGATCTAGCAATTTCACTCCTGGGTTTATATCCAAGAGAATTAAAAACATATGTTCATACAAAACTTGCCCATGAATATTCATAGCAGCATTATTCATAATAGTCAAAAAGTGGAAATAACCCAAAAGTCCATCAACTGATGAATCGATAAACAAAATGTGCTATATCCACAAAATGGAAGATTATTCAGCAATAAAAGGAATGAACTTCTGATTCATGCTACGACACGAATGAATCTTGAAAACATTATGCTAAGTGAAAGAAGCCAGACATGAAAGGCCACATATTGTATGATTCCATTTATATGAAATAGCCAGAATAGGTAAATCCATAGAGACAGAAAATAGATCAATGATTGTTAGGTACTGGAGGTTGGAAGATAAGGGGAGTGACTACTAATGACAATGACGTTTTTCTTTGGGCTAATAAAAATATTCTGGATTTATATAGTCATGTTGGTTGCACAACTTTGTAAATATGCAAAAACCAAAAAATTGTACACTTTAAATGGGTGAATTTTACAGTGTGCAAAATAAGAAAGTTTTAGAGATCTGTTGCACAACGAAGTGAATATAGTTATCACAACTGACCGAAATACTTAAAAATGCTTAAGATGGTAAATTTTGTTATGTGTTTTTTACCACAAAAATAAATAAATAAAGTTCAGGCTCAAATGATTTCACAGGCTAGTTCTACCAAATGTTTAAGGAAGAAATAACACCAATTCCACAACTCTCTTCCAGAAAATAGAAGAGGAAAGGAGCTGTCCAACTCATTTTATGAGGCCAGCATTGTCCTGATACCAAAACCAGAAAAACACAGTACAAGGAAAGAAAACTACATACCAATATTCTACGTGAAAAATAGACACAAAAATCTACAAAAAAATATTAGTAAATCAAATTCAGCAATATATTCTAAAAGGTAATACAGCATGACCAAGTAGGGTACAGGGAATGCAAGCTTAGTTCAATATTCAAAACTCAATCAATGTAATCCTTCATATAAATGATTAAAGAAGAAAAATCACATAAACATATCAATAGACGCAGAAAAAGCACTTAACAGAATTCAATATATATTCATAAGAAACAAAAAAAATCTCACTAAACTAGGAATAGAATGAAACTTCCTTCTCTTGATTAAAGGCATCTGTAAAACACCTACAGTTAACATCATACTTAATGGTGAAAACCTGAAAGTTCTTCCCCTAAGATCAGGAACAAGCAAAGATGTCCACTCTCACCAGTCCTATTCAACATCATACTGGAAGTTTTAGCTAGTGCAATAAGGCAAGAAAATGAAACAAAAGGCAGCAGCATTTGTATAGTTTTTTACAAGCTGATTCTAAAATTTATGTGGAAAGAGAAAGGAACTAGAATAGCCAAAAAGATAAAGCTGGAGGACTCGCACTACCTAATTTTTAAAATCACCATGAAGCTGCAGTAATCAAGATATTGTAAGTATTGGTTAAAAGTACGTACAAGACCAAAAGCCAACTGATTTTTGACAAGATTTTTAAGTTGATTCAATAGAAAAAAACAGTCCTTTGAAGAAATTGTATTGAAACAATTGGATATCCATATGAAAATAAATTAACCTCCACCTAACATTCATCTCTTATACCAAAAAAAACACAAAATGGATCATAGATTTAGACAAAAAAATGTAAAACTATAAAACTTTTAGAGGAAAATACAGGAGAAAAATCTTTGTGGTTTGCGATTAAGCAAAGAATTCTTAGACAAACTCCAAAACCATGACCCATAAAAGAAAATATTGGTAAATTCGACTTTATAAATTTAAAAACTTTTGCTCTGCAAACAACAGTTAGAAAATGAAAAGACGATTTATACCTGGGAGAAAATACTCAAAAGTCACATATCTGACTGTCATAAATTGAATGTTTGTGTCCTCCCCCACTTTTTTACAAGTTGAAGTTCTAACTCCCAATGTAGAAGCATTAGGAGATGAGGCCTTTAAGGAAGTAATTAAGGTTAAATGAGGTCACAGAATTAGTGTCCATACAAGAAGAGACATCAGAGAGCTCACTCTCTCTCCATGAACCAAGGAAAGGCCAGATGAGCACAGAGCAAGAAGGCAGCCATCTACAAGCCAGGAAGAGAACTCTCACCAGAAACCAACCATGTTGGCACTCTGATCTCATATTTCCAGCCTTCAGAACTGTGAGAAAATAAATTTCTGTTAACCTACTCAGTCTGTGGTATTCTATTATGACAGTTTCAGCTAAGACACTGACAAAGGACTTGTATTCAAAATTTACAAGGAACTCTCAAAACTCAATGGTAAGAAAACAAACTTCCCA